ACGTAAATTCTTTCAGCATCACAGTGGTGAGGGAGGACGAAAGTGTTGGGATTTGCTTCAAGAAAGGCAACTCGGTACTCGTTGTAGCGCGTAAGTATAAGATGCTTCTGAATAAACTTGTGGAGGACCCAGACACTGCCATAGTCTTCCTCGTATCGACCATACGCATATTTTCATCGAGGGAAAAAGAAAGGGTTGGAGATTCCATAATCCTCCTCCTTAGGGTCCTCCTCCTTGCGGAAAGGATCAGCGGCGGAGCAAAGCAAGCCAAAAGAAAGCAGCAGAGAGAAGAGCAAAAGAAGGAGAAAATACTTACTCGTCACCATGACTGTACTTTGAGCTGTGTGGTCAAAATCGAGCAAAGATGGGTAATGTATTTATCTTGAAGTTGTCTGTTGCATTTACTTCGTTTGGCTTGAAGTTATGTGCTGCATTTATTTGGCTGGCTCCCGAGTTTGGACAGTTCGAGTGAGCAAAGACTACGTCTTTTTAATGATGGAAATTTAGGAAGACGGATAATATATTTAAATGAGCGAAAGGGAAAGCTTTGTAGCTTATTTTTCTTTGGTTTAAGCTTTTCTGGTGCATTTATTTAACCTGTTGTAAACTACTTATTTGACCACTTTTATTTGAGTTTTATAAATCTATGATCACTAAAACATAAACAAAAACAAAATTGGGTAATTTGTTTAACACGCCATGTAATATTAATATTAATTACTTCAATATTTTTAATAGGATAACTTACTTATGGGGTTGATGTCATATAACCACCATTTTTTTAACTTTGTTAATTATTTAAATGGTTTCAATGAAGTTATGATAGAAATTTAGTAAACAAGTAATATGTTTAAAGAAGGTGAAAGGTAAAGCGTTGTAGTTTATTTATCTTTTGTCTAAGCTTTTTCGGTGCATTTATTTATTGATAGACTATACTAATAATCACTAAACTTTGAGTAAATTTTTGTTTGTCTGTTAGCATTAAGATTTTGTGTTCGTCCCTGGTAGTAGATGAATAAGTCTTGGATTTTGTTACCTTGAAACTTTTATGGTTGAAATTGATGCTATGCCGTATTCGTATATAGTTTAGGTAAAGCTTGATATATGTTGAAACATGTTTGAATTGCGGTTTTAACCATTTGAAGTTTATGATATCAATATCATAACAAGGGTATCGATAGTATAGGCTTAATTGGAAATTTTAAAGTAATATTTGTTATTAGTGTAGCATTGAGTATCAATCTATCATGGTGATATCGACACCCCCATTAGATGAATTCAAATCTCATAACCTTGAATTGGTACCAGTACTATGAATTAATATCGATATTATACTTGTATAGTATTGAAACCAGGTCAAAGTATCAATATCAGATTAAGCTTTAAACTTTGAAGAAATAATTCAGTATTGATATCGTTCATCTAGTATTGGTATGTTTCTAAGGCAATATTGATATTGTTCATACAATATGAAAGATAAATTTTGTTTTTTCAACCCAATTTGTTCTATCCGCAAACGCAAGGATTCAAACTCCTGACCTTGCTTAAGGAATCTGGTGTCTTATCCCACTAGACCAACTTAATGGGACAAATTTTAAGGATAAATTTTGTTAATGGGACATAATTATAACATTTTAAATATTCAACTTGATAGTTTTCTGATTCTGATGATTATAAAATATTTTATTGATTCTTTTGTCTTATATCTCATTTATTTTAAATCGTCATATTAAACAAAAATTTATTCTAAAAATTTAACAACAATTGAAAGTTTGATATTCCGTGTCCATATTAAATAATATTATTTAGGATGATTAGCATTAGCAACCCGTCATAATATAACTCATAACCATTCGTTTGAAAGATTTTTTTAGTAAATTATATTTTGATACCCCAACTTATAACATGAAAAATCGTGAACTAATTGCCTTGTATGCACCTATATACATGCAAATGGCATGAACAAAGAAGTACATAGGGCTCGCAAATCCCAGATTCTAAACATTGCAATCTTAATTTCTGGTTTGAAACACCCGAAAAATGAAATCAAACTACAACTGCAGCAGCTAGAACAAACGTGTAAAGTCCAGGATGGATGATTTGGGGTTGCTCCTACTCTCTTCAGATCCACGTTGTTGCCTCTTTCGAGACACAAAGTAAGACTCGGGCCGGTTGTTGAATACCTCATTGACCAAACTCGACGGCACCCCAAAGGCAAGTTCCTTCCCTGCTATGAAGATCCTCGAGTTGTTCTGGTGGTAGATTCCGAAGGCTATGAACTTCAAGTGCTGGTGTTGGATGCAACATATGTGACTGGATGGCCTACTGGAACTATCAATGCGTCACCGGCCGACAATTGGACTCTCGATTTCGAATATTCTCCAGCTCTCTTTTTCTCCTCCTCTTCGATTTCCTCTTCCTCTTCTCTTTGGGAGCTTTGCCAAGAAAGATAAGGGCAGGCAGTGGCGGAACTCAACATTATTTGTTGAAGGGATCATTTTATAAAATGTATATATTAGTTAAAATATTTTACTACCTTCAACTCAAATGAAATTAAAAATTGAATACTTAATAACTTGATTAAAGTTTTTAACTCAAATAAATTGAACAACTAAAGACAAAAAATATTTTGTATCATGAAATGAGAAATAATAAAGGAAAATATATTTTCATTCATTTAAAAATAAATCAATAAAAAAAATTGAATGTTAAAACTTTTTAATAAATGATAATTAAATTTTAAATTACTAGTTTCCAAATTTTAAAATAGTATACATATATTTTTTGGATAACTAAATTTAGTAACTTATTATATACACTTTTTAAAGGGATCAACTTAAGAATTTAATATATAAAAATATATACCAATAATAAGTTAATTTAATGGGATGAGACACTAGATCCCTTAGCAAGATTAGGGACTCAAATCGGGATTTGTGAATGGAGCAACTTGGGTTGAGAGGGTCGCTCTCACCTTTACAGCACCTGATCTGAATTAATCGATTAATAAATTAGACACTAGTAATTATACCAAATATATATATTATTTAAAAAAAATTAGGGGGCCATGGCCCCCTCCAGTCCTTTAGTAGTTTCGCCTCTAAGGGCGGGTTCTTAATAACTCTCCAAAAGAGTTATCATATGAATCATTTTTATCTAGGTTTAGCTTGAACTTAAGAACTCTTAGAAGCATTTTAGGATCATTGTATCTACAATTACATGCATTTTGCATCATAAGCTATTTGGTTTATCTTGGGCTGATTTTTATTTTTATTACTGAAAAAGGTACGAAAATGTTGCAGCATTGGAGCAGAGACTGCAACAAGTGATGAGTCATCAGGTGCTTCGCAAAATGCTTCGGAATGGGAAAATTGGCTAGGACAACTGTTATTTCACCAATAAGCACCTATCGTGTGGAGCAATTTCATTGGAGATAGGATGGCTCCTTCCACCTATAAATAGGAGAGTCATTTATTCATTTGATGATCATATTTTCTACACACCACTCTCAAACACTCATAAAAACTCTCTCGTCTCTTTCCATGGTTGCTTAAGCCACTCAGTTGGGGAAGTGCTACAGCATCTGAGGAGAAGCTTTTGCTGAGTAGCATCGACAATCAACCTAGATCACTTTATTTACACCTGTCTTTTGCCTGAGATAGGGGAATATTAGGATAGTTTGAATTTGTTTTTATCTTGTGCATGATATTTGATATAAACTTAGTGTTTATTTTGGTATTTGTGATATGATGAATGTTTAAGTTTATGACTTTGTGGCTTGAGCTTTTGGATGATTAAAGAGATTTTATCATCAAATGCATGTCTATTCATATAGTATAAAAATATACATATCTATGTTCATGTTAATTTTGTTAGCCTTGGTATTGTGAGAAGAAATGTTGTGTATTGAGATATATGCTGCAAAGTATTTGGCATAGTTAATGGATTAATCGTTTGATCTAATGAGAGTTGATTCTGAATGATTAAGTAGAGTTAATCTATGTTGGATACATAGTGATGGAATTAAACACGTGGTTAAAGCATAAATTCCCTTTTATCATTCCAATCTATTTGATGGTTGATCTTGTGCTTTATTCAATGTTGTAGCATGACCTGATATTTTTATTATTGAGTTTACACTTTAAAAATCTGTTGCATGTCACTTTTAATCAACTTTTCTTATAACTCTTTTGTAAATTGATTTTTATCCCTATGGATACGATACTCGATGCTGTGAAGCATTTATTACTACTTGTGACAACATATACTTGCATTAGTATAGAGTGTAATTATAATTATCAAGTTTTTAGCGTCGTTGACGGGGAGAAACAGTTTGCATTAGAGTTTTTATTTACATCAACTAACCTTGTTTCTTTTTTTTATAGGTAATTTCTTTTTAGCTTATTGTTGTATGTCCGATAGCAATGACCTCGTGCCGTTAGATCCTAAAATCGAAATAACCTTTTTTCGTCGTCAAAGAGAATCCAACCATAATCGAGTTAATATGGTGATCAAGCACATGGTCACAATGCCCTACCACCATTACAACATGCTGAAGAAGGAGAATTGTCGCACAACATAGGAGCTAAGCAACAACTGTATATCAACATGGATGACCGCAATCGACCTATTAGAGAGCATGTTGTGCCTACGCTAGATGACTTACACCCTGAAACTGTGGGACTAGCCATCCAAGCTGTTAACTTTGAATTAAAACCGGTGATGTTTCAAATGTTACAATCTATAGGGTACTAGAGCAGCTCATTTACCAAATATCTGAGAGCACACCTTAAGGCATTCATAGAGGTGCGTGACATTTGCACAACATGGAGTTCCTGATGAATCTTTGAAGCTGAGGCTTTTCCCCTTATTCGATGCACAACAAAGCTAGAGCATGGCTCAATTCGCTGCCTCCGGGTGTAATAGCATCTTGGAATTAATTAGTACGAAAAATTATGATGCGTTTCAATATGCCTAATATGAATGTGAAGCTAAGAAATGACCTTAGAAATGACCTTACCTCCTTCAAGCAACTGGAATACGAGAATTTATATGAAGCTTGGGAGCATTTTAAGGAATTGTTGCAAAGTGTCTGATTCACGGATTTCTTCATTGGACGCAAATGGAGATGTTTTATAATGGGTTAAACATGGATACTCGTGTGGTAGTTGAGGCTTCAGCAAATGGTGCACTACTGGACAAGTCATATAATAAAGCATATGATATATTGGAGAGGATTTCTAATAATGACTATCAATACCCCAATACAAGAAACATGTTTGGAAGACGCAATGTTGCAGTAACAGACACTGATGCTTTGAATTCAATGGCTTCACAGATCACAACATTCACTGATATGGTAAAGAAATTACAAAAGTCGGGTGGCATGTATGAGGTAAAAGTTGCATCTCATTCTCTTGTGGTTATTGTGGAGATGCACATAATTATGAAGAATGTCCATAAAACCTTGAGTCTATTTGTTTTATGAGAAATTTTAATAGGGGTGATAATTCCAACACTTATGGGAATTCATACAATCCCAGCTACCGCAACCATCCCAACTTACCTTGGAGAAGCCAAAATGTTACCAATCTCAATGTTGTACAATCTAATTTTAGTAATCAGTATTAGTATTACAATCAACAACCAATAATGCCACAACATCAGCAACCAGCGCAACTCCGAGCAAAGGCAGAATTACCAAGGGCAAAATTCCAACCAAGCTCCCATCCTAACTTCTCTTGAAGCTTTGAGGAAATAATATATTTCACGAAATAAAGCAATGATTCAAAGCCAGTAAACATCATTGAGAGCATTGGAAGACCAAGTTGGCTAGTTGGATAATGCTTTAAGCAATAGAAAACTAGGGACGCTGCCCAACGATACTGAACCTCCTAAAGATTACAAAAAGGCCCATTGCAATGAGCATTGTAAATCCATCATGACTTGAAGTGGAATACACCTTGGAAAACCCATTTTTGAAAATAAGAAGAAGGGTGATGAGAGGATGGATCTGCAATCTAAGGATATGGAGGTGGCAAAAGATGCATCTCTTCCAGATGTTGTTGTAGACACTCGTTTTCGTCCAGATATTTTGTTAATATTAATTATTATTACTATTATTATTTAGCTATATTATTTTATTTTTATTTTCTTATTTTTGCAGGCCATTACAACAAACCCAAGTTGGACCCAATTACAAGAGGCCAACTAGCCCAAACATTAGCCTATATATTTTAGGGTTTTCTTAAACCTTAGCCTAAACATAGCCTTTCGCCATCGACTTCACTACAAATCGAGAAGATCTGCGTTGTTGCCACTATTTCGGTCACCCACTCCCGTCATACCGTTCTCATTTAAACTACCTCAATTTCATCATTTCGTACAAAACAGAGAAGAAAATCAGTAAAAAAACCAAATCCAAACAAATAAAAAATTAATAAAAAGCACACCCAAATCCCAACCAATCTCGAAAATTTGGGATCTTAACCACCCCCATCATCACCCTCACCAAAACACAAACCCCATTTAATACATGAGGGATTCAATTTTCAAAAGGAGAGAGAAACAAAAAAAAGAAAACCCCGAGAGAAAGAAGAAAAAGAGTTGAGTTCGATTCGAAAAAAAAAAAAAAAATATAAAGAAAAAAGGATTCAAGCCAAAGATAGAGAGAACAACAACCATTTTTTAGAGGAAAAAAACATAGAAAAGAAAATAGAAAGGAAGAAGCCTCATGATAACTCCGTAAAAAGACCATATTTAGGGCCTTTTCACTTAAGGTATTGATTGTCTAAAGGCTCATATAGGAACATATAGATGCATTTAGTAGTATATAGTTATGGTGGAAATATGTTTCGTCGCGACATTTTATTTTGTAAGTGGTACTGCATTATGGGCAAGGTATTTTTTTTGATGATGTGCAAGATTTGGGAGCAAGTTTAAGCGAAAGGGAATTGTTGTGACAAGATGAGAATACTGAGTAGAATCCAAATACCAAATCAAACGGCGTTTCAGAAGTGAACCAGACGGAAAAAATATTTTTAAGAGCCATTTGTCCTTTTCTTCACATGCCTTCTACCACCAGTCACCCGAGAGGAGACATCTGCCACATGGGTCGTCTCATTTTGTCGGGACCACGCCCACCTACAAGCTGATCTTGTCTGGTCTACGCCCAGCTGCCTTGGAGGGGACCATTGCCATATCTGCTCACCCCCTCACATGAAAGGAGCCTGATCGGGGTATCATAGGAATTTTAACACAAATTCCTAGGTTTATTTCCCCTATAAATAGGAGATAAAGCCACCAAGAAAAAAGGACTTTAAAAATGCTGGCTTGAGCTTATTTTCAGAGAGAAAAAAGGCCTCTTCTTTTTTCGTCAATTGTCTTTGTCGTGGTATTCCTCCATTAACAAGCTAGAGGGAGTAGTGAGCTAGGCGTCCGAGAAAAGCTAGCAAGCTGGGGTAGTTCATGGTGGCCGAGGGGAGCTCCGGTAGTGCACGTCGAAGGCTTTTCCTCAATTCCTTTATTGTTTACTTTCATTTATCTTAGTTGAGTTGTATGGAATGAATTAATTTCATGCCTTGTTGCTGAATATTCGAACCCCACTATGAACTAGTCTAATTTGGTGGGAGTTCCTTATGGATACTTAAGTTTTATTTTAATGGATGATTGTTTTTGTATGTTGTTATTTGTTTTATTTATGATGTTTAATGCCTTAAGGTTGTAGGAGCTATGAGAGTAGCCATTCCTTAGGAAAATGCTTAGTGTTCGAGAGAATGACTAAGTAGCATGTCCTTAGTATTCGAGAGAAACTAGGGAGAATCCACATAATCAAGGGATTCTAGGTAGTAACTAGGCCCAATCCAACCTTAGACATAAGGCTAGGATTTTAATCAACTAAAAGAAGTAGTGCTCGATTGAGAGGTTAGATGTTAGTGTTGCCACTAAAAGGTATTACCATGACATATACTATTATCTGAACCTATAGGATCCTTGCACTTGCTAACACCAATACGTTTGCCATGGCATCTTAACCTGTTGAGTCCCTTGACTAGAGATAGAATAGGGCACCATTCGTAAACTCTATCGAGCAAATAAGGTATAGAAGTAAGACCATCCTGAGAAGTAAACTTAAGCTTCTTAAGTGACTCCTATCATTCATTCATGTAGTAGCTTGTTGTGTGAGGAGTCTAAAGTCCTGATAATCAAACCCAGTATTTACATTTTGTTTTTCCTTTACATTTTCATTTGATTGCACTAAACCAAATTTAATTTTTCATGACATTTTCATCTATTTTGCCACGACATCTCCATTTGCTTCCACATCACATTATCATTCCATTCCCACCAACATCCATTTCATTTTACCACATTATTCTCATTTGTACAAACCATTACTAACTATACTTAGGTGAAATAGTAAATTGCTTTGACTGAACTTATAAATTTCCTCCAATCCCTGTGGATATGATACTCACTCATCACTATATTACTTGTTCGATTGTGTATACTTGCACATATTTCACGACCATATTTAATAGTCACAATTTGCGGATAGGTTTTTGGCACCGTTGCCAGGGATTGGCAACTAGAAGTTAATTAGTTTTGTCATAGAATTTTTATTTTACTTTTTATTTTTTATATAATTTTACTTGTTATTTTCCTTATCTTATATCATGTTTTTCTTGGTGTATGACCAGAAGACACTCTGACGAGCCATTAGAACCAATTGAACCTGAGATTGAGAGGTTGTTTAGGCAAAGAAGACATGTTCAATGTGCAACCATATATCAAATTGGAAATCAAGGTATTGGTCATGAGGAATATCAAAATGACGAGGCAATTCCAAATGCTGGGAATACAACCAGACCTCTTGCCATTCATGATCACTTAAATCCTATCTTAGACAACTTAAATCCAGGAATTGTGGCACCTGAGATTCAAGCAGCCCATTTTGCGTGCAAACCTGACATGTTCAATATACTAAATTCCATATGGCAATTTTGGGGCATGCCAAATGAAGATGTCAAACAACATATTCGTAACTTCTTGGAGGTGTGCGATTCTTTCTGTCAACAAGGAGTGCACGAAGATGTATTAAAGTTAAATTTATTTCCATATTCTCTGCGTGACTGATCAAGGGCTTGGTTGAGTGGCATTCCAGCGAGTTGAATGGAGTCTTGGACTGATCTGTGCAAAAAAAGATTTCTATGGTATAATCCTCTGAACATGAACACCCAATTGAGGAATGACATCATTTCTTTTTGTCAAGCTGATGACGAATCAATGTATGAATGGGATCGGTATAAAGGATTACTTGCAAATATTCAAATCATGGTTTTCAAGATTGGACTCAAGTGGTAATGTTCTATAATGGAGCTAATGCGCCCACGATGATGATGTTAGATGTCTCAGTAAATGGGACATTACTCGATAAATCACCTGTAGAGGCATTCGATATTCTAGATAGGATTGCCAACAATGATTATCAATTTCCAAGGCTTGGAATTAGGCAAAAATCACATGGAGCATTCGAGTTAGACACTAAGGATTATGTGTTCGCCCAACTTGTTGTTATCATCAATATGCTAAAGAATTTGTAAAGACCAAGTAAGGTGAAAGAAGTGAAGGCATCCAATTTAATATGTTTATTATGTCATGGCAATCACCATGAAAGCGAGTGCCCGACCAATCAGGAATCCATCAACTATATAGGAAACTATAATCGAGGTAACAATAACCCCTATTCTAACACATATAATCTTGGATGACGCCAACATCCAAACTTCTCGTGGGGAAATAAAAACCAGTAATGCTAATAAACCCCTTCGATACCAGAATTTCAATGACTCTCAAGGTTTTCAAATGAATATGCCATGGCATAATTCTAACAAGTGAGGGTCATCTTCATTTAACACAAGTTCTTTGGAGGCCATAATGAAAAAGTTTATAGCAACCATGAAGACCATGCTGCAAGACCATGCGACATCATTAAAAACCAAGGAGCTTTGCTTCAAAGCCATAATTCATCTCTGAGGGAATTGGAGGATCAAGTTGGTTAAATTGTCGCGATATTACAAGAACGTCAACCAAGTAGTTTGTCGAGT